AATCTCACCTATCAGCTTTTCCTCATATCCCCAAACACCCTTATTTAATGTCAGCAAATCCTGGTGTCTCAAAATTTCTTTACGCTCTCTGCTTCCACAATCACCTCTGATAACATGATTAGACAGAGATCATAAACACAGAGCATAAACGTTTCTGAACCGCAGTAGAGGACAGCCATGAAGCCTTGATAACAACACCCTTCAGGAGATCAAATCAATAGCTGTGTCACCAAAGGCCTGCACATCCCATTTGACTCTCTGAACAATAATGCAATGGTCCAAGAACTGCCACCAAACTCTCCTCCTGAAGTTTAAAGCAGCAATACAGGAAAACTAAATAAAAGCATGTTTCTATAAAGAGAAAAAGTTTTAAAAACATTCTCAAAGTTTTAGAACTTTAACTTCCATAGCCAAATGTTATTTTGTTAAATTGTATCATGTGATGCTTAAAGAAGGTGTCGTTGCACAGCATATATATATATATATATATATATATATATATATATATGTATATATACAGACACATACACACACTGCCAGGATATATATGTGTATATTCCCAGGACGTCTAAAATATGAGACCCTACTAATATTGCAAAGTATAAGTGCCACTACCTTAATAAGATTTATTCTATATTCATATCCAAGAGGAGTTCATTAGGGATTCACATCACTTCAGACCTCACAATTGAACAAAAATTACATTCAATTTTGCATGTTAATTGTTTCCAATTATTTCTTCCATGGTGTTAAAATATTCCTAGATATATGAAGTGAAAGACCATTTGATGTAAATTTATGCTTTATGAATCAACATTATTTTTTAATTCAAACCTTTAGTGGAATAAATTAAGACAATTTAAAAAATGAAATTTGGGGCCCAGCCTGGTGGCATAGTGGTTAAGTTCACATGCTCCACTTCAGCGGCCCAGGGTTCACAGGTTCAGATCCTGTGTGTGGATCTAGCGCCACCTGTCAAACCACGCTGTGGCAGCATCCCAGATAAAACAGGAAGATTGGCACAGGTATTAGCTCAGTGACAATATATATTTTGTCATATATTCCTCAATATATTCCTCAAGCAAAAAGCAGAAGATCAGCAACAGGTGTTAGCTCAGGGCCAACCTTCCTCACACGCAAAAAAATTAAAAATTGAAATCTGTAACGACAACATGCCCAAGGATGAGAGTTTTAATTATGAACCTATGAAATAAAATAAAAATAGTTGTGAAAAATACGTTGAGATTTGACCCAAGGATAAAAAACTGTATATTATGTGTAACAGGGTAACCTAAACTACTGTGTTTGCTTTTAACTTTAGCAGATCTGCTTAATATAACATTTATGTCTATTTAAACCTGACTGATAATAGCATAGTTATAACAGCCTCTCTCTTTTGTGTTTCTAGAATTTGGATCTAGATATACCTTAACAATATTATAGAGAAAGGAATCACAAGTTCAAATATTCAATAGTACAACTTTTAGGATAAAATATCATAATAAATTACTCAGATACAAATAAATATACATCACTCATTAGATATTCATAGCATGGATAGATACAGATTTATTCTAAAGTAGCTTGCTGTGTTTTTGTTATACAGCAGACCAAGAGTTTTCAAACCCTTTCATGTAAATTATGAAAATCCCTAAAGCCTCGTTGGAATTTTTTCTATTTATCATCTCTGACAGCAAAGTTCCAGATAAATCTATCTATTTTTCTATCATTCTCGGTAGCCTGAATTTCAGAAAGGAAGAATAGCTACTGTTCTAATAGTGCCCATATCAGACTTCAGAAAATAAACACAGGGCAAAAAGGGCCTAGTTAATGAGGAGGCACTTGCGCTTCTCTGCACTCTATCTGGCAGGCAAGAAATAACTATCCAGGTTAGGACTTGGATGCCTGGAGTGAGGAAAGGAAAGAGAAAGGAAAGGAAAGGGAGGAAGTAAGACAGGGGAGGAGGGAGTGAAACACACCAGGACCAGACTGAGAAATATCTCGGCTTTAGTTCTCAGTCTAGTATTAGTTATTGAGTGGCCCCAGGTAATAAATTCTGTTCTCCATAACTTAGCATCCTGATTCATAAAATGAATAAAAGCATTTTCCAAGTATTTCCAGATCTAAAATACTGCAACCTTCCTGAAGAAAATTCTATTTCACAGAAACAAGAAGAAACAGAGCACTCCCTAGGTATACCGACAACTTCTACGTTTACTCAGTAGAGACCAGTGCTAGTGCCTGATGATCACTCACATCAAATTTCTTACTCTTCATTACACAGATGATTTTTTAAATAAAGCTTTTTTATCTGACAGCCCTGGTGAAACAGACACGTAAGTAAATGATTAATACAAATTACAGCACAGAGGATAGAGGGATTAACTTTGTGACCACCCAGATATATGACATTTGTGCTAGTCCTTGAAAGATGAATCAAATTCCATCACAGAAAAAGACAGAAGAAAGGGACACCAAGCAGCTAGATAAAATATGAAAAACAGCAAGAGATATGAAAAGTAAATGGATTGTTCAAAAGTAAAAAAAACAGAATGGGGGACAGAATTTGCAAAAGTTAGAACAGAATAGGCCAGAATAGACCAAATTGTGAAGTCACTTGAATATACAGTGAATAACTACTTTTAATGGATATAACAGAAAGAAAGAAAAAACCAGAATAATTTCCTAAAACGAAACACATCTAAATTGCCATCAGGATTTACACAGTCAGCCTCAAAAGTCCCAGCAGCAGCATCACACATATGAGTGAAGCCATCTTACATGTCCCACCTGTTAAACCGCCAAATGACGCAGCGCATGAGTGAGCCCAGAAAGGACCAGCGGAAGAACCTCTCTGCTGAGCCTGGTCCAGGTCTGCAGAGTGTAAGCAAATAATTTGCATAAGACAAGGGCTGCTGCTATAGCAAAGAGGCACACCCACAGCATTTGCTCCGGCACTGAACTCACTGTAGAGGTCTGCAGAGCCACAAGGCAGCTGCTGGTGGAGGCAATAAGAGGCCAGCCCAGGTTACACAATGGGACAACTGGTGAGAACGGCGTCCGTGATAACTCGGAAGACAGAAAAAGTACTTCAGAACATGCTGGTCAAACAAGAATGTTTCCCAGATGCTCACACTGGCAGCTGGCATATGGGATATCCTTCTAAATAAAGAGGATGACTCAGAGGGCATAGAAAGAGGTAATATGAAGCATCAAGCACATACAAATAAATGCTTTAAAATGGAGACTGCTGGTAGTGTAAGATACCTCTTCTCTAAAAATGAGGTCTCTACATCCACTCTGACTTTCCTTGTGTTTGTAAACAGTAATTTATTGTATTCAATTTGAACCAGGCATATATGCTTGTTTTTAATAGTTTTCCATATACTTCACCATTAGTTGATAATAACCACTACTTTATTTATGGATGAGGGAACTGTGATTTCAAAGTTAGTAAGCCAGGGATTTAGAATTCAAGCTTAATTCTTCCAATTTCTTTCACCCACTATAAGAAAGTGATGAATATTTGTACTGTACCCACTCTCTCATGCTTCTGCCATCAAATAAATTATAATAAAGACAACAAGCCACAAAAACAGATGAATCTAGCAGTACCTCCAGATAAGTTGATAAAATTACCAGTTGTCCAAAATCATCTTTGCCCAACAACTGAAAGATTTTAAGGCATACAAATAAGAATGAAATTTACGGAGTAAACATATTAAGTAAAAAAAATCTACAACTAGCCATCAATGATTGTCACTGCCTCTAATTCTGTGGTCAATGCAATAAAAAATACAATATTTACTAATAGCTAATCACATAAATTCTTAGATAATTATTCTTTAAACATTTTTAAAACTTTAATTTACCAATTAATGCCCATCTTCATACTAATTTAAAATGTGATAAAACTACATGGTTAGTATATGTAATATGTTTTATTGTCAGCTATTATTGCCTTCTTAATCTTATTGAATAATTATTCATATGCATGAAATTTTCAATAGTGCATTTTCCAATGTAAACTATTTTATAGAGCCCCCTCAAAGCATCATTTATGACTTATTTTTGTTTCATTCTAAATCCTTGTTATAAATGAATTAAAATTTTCAATTCAATGTATAGTGACAAACTTCAATGAAACATATTTTAATAATTAAATGAAAGAAAGCTAGTTTATGTTTTATAAAAATATACCACAGACTTTTCATGCAAAGATTAATATTTTCCACTGATCAAACATATTCATCATTGGAGGTTTTCCTGAATTTCTCAACATTCAAGAACCCAAGTGTTTTATAAGTAGATAAAACCTTTAAAAATTCATTTATTACTCATGACCCTTATATGCATAAAAGTATGTTTTTTCTCATTTATTCTCCGTCCTTTTAGCAAAGGATAAATTAATCTCTGATATGGTCAGTATTCAATCACCAAACACATAATACCTGTATAAACTATCCTATATGTTTTTGCCAATACACGATTCATATGCATATATAAGAATTCCTCACTTATTTAAATATAATTTCAGCTTATCTGGGTACTATTCAATTATTACAATTCAACATCAAAGAAAGAATTATTTTCAAACTGTCTTTAAATGTCACATTCTCTATAAACCACCAAAACATGAGAGTCAGGAAAAAGCCCACTCTGAATCTCTTTTGCTCTTGGTTGCTGCTACTGATGCTGCTTTCCGTTATAAAAATTAGATGAAAACAGCAATTTATACGACTTAACTACTTTACTGAAGGCAATATGGAGAAGCACTTGTTACGGTGTATAATTTATTTTACATTTTCATACACCATCCCAGGAGGAAAAAAATCCAAAATTATCTTAGAGTTAATATGAGTGCATTTCCCCCACCATTAATTTTGCGAGTAATAAATAGCATTTGAAAATTTATTATTTGAAAATAAACATACAACAAATTTCCCTTTAAAAATCATCATTTAAATGCATGATATATTATTTGAATGTTTGTTTCTTACCTTGGCAAGAACCCTCAATTTCTTCATATCCTGTACTGCAGATACACCTTCCAAGAGGAACCAGCCAATCGCCATCAGCTCCACAATACAGTTTCGGAGTGTCACGCTCTTCTGCACTCTTCACACAAGAGCCCCTTACTTCAACCAAAGAGGAAGAATCAACCCTCGGGATGGTGTCTGGAAACATGGCTAAGTTACGAACAGTGAAGGGGCACTTTTTGTAGAAAACACGTACGGAGACCAGGGCAATGCATGCCCCAATGTCTTGAAAAGCCAGATAAAATCCTTTTCTTTCTATAGGCCCCACCTCGCGAATTTCCGTGTTCAGTTTGAGAATGCGATCACCCAAATCCATCTGGGTAAAACTTTCATCAGCAGCAATTGTGTCGATCTTTGTATACTGGCTTGGCTTAAATTTAATTCCATGGGACTCATCTGATTCCACATAATACAGATTAAATGTTTCTTTGCAAGTCCCCAAGACCCATGGGATGCTGTTACAGTCCCTCAGGGTGAACTTCATTTCCACATAAATTTTCTGAGCTGCATCACGGGAGATCCAGTTTGTACGAAGCCAGTTGTTTTGGTTTGGCTCCATCACATTGCATACCTGGTATGTGTGAATGGGCCTGTTGTGTTCATCCATTTCAGTGATGGCATCCCACTGTAAAAAGAAAAGAAATTAAATGATTATAAAACCACAGTGGTTAAAGAGATATAACTTCCAAAATTTTCCATTTTAGCAAAAGAAAAAGGAATAAAAAGGATAAAAATGAAACTACACAAAGCAACAATACAGGAGGATTTTAATCACGAGCCTTTGGTTAAGAGTATGGGTTCTGGACATACCAGCTGTCCTGATATGAATGTTACCTTCCTACACATTAGCTGCATGAGCTAGGGCTACTTAATTTAACCTATAGTTTCCTCAACTGTAAAATGGAGTGGATAATAGCCCCTGTGTCACAGGGCTGTTGGAGGCATAAATTAGTTAATATATGTAAAGCACCTCAAATACTTCCTGGTACACTATAAGAACAGAAAATATATCCATTATCTGATCAAATAATGAGATGGATGACAAATGTACTCTGGTTACCTATCTGTCCTCATATTCAATTATTAAATATTCATGTCTATTTTGATAGAAAACAGACATAGATAAATGCCTTAGGTTTATTTAAGAAATGTTTATCAGCCACTATTTAGGACACAGGGAATATAGCAGTGAACTAGCTGAACCCTGTCTTTTTGGAGCTTACTTAGAGTGAGGGGAGACACAAAAATCATAAATTAGTAAATTGAATAATATGGTAGTAACTACACTGGGAAAAAATAAGGTAGGGGGATGTAGAAGAGCATTACGATTTTAAATACAGTGGCCAGATAACGCCTTACTGAAGCAGTGACACTTCAACCATGTCACGGAGGTGAGAGAGTGAACCTCGTCAAGAGGAACAGTAAATACAAATACCCTGAGGCAGGAACGTACAGGTGTATTTTAGGAACAGCATGCGTGGACACTGGACAGAGAGCAGAGAAGGGGCAAAAAATAGCCTTTACAAGCATTTTAAGCACTCAGGCTTTTACTCTGAGCTAGATCCTTGCATTATCTTCACTCCTGCTTGTTTACATTACAAACATTCTGCCACTTATTTGAACAGAAAAGCCTTATTTATCCTTTTAAAAAAATTTAATTAAAATCTTTGAGTGCTTTGAAATTAATTGACATTATCAGTGTTTATACATCTAATATTGCATAATTCTATATTATAAATTTAGACTGTAATTGTATTTGATTTGTGTAGTTATAGTTATAATTATTTTCAATAAACAAAAAACATTCTGGTAACTTTATAGCCTTTTTGGGAAAACAGCTAGTCATCATAGTTTCTCATTCTATTAAAATATACTGGAAACGATAAACTGTTTTGTATAGTGAATAAGTGTTCTATTTCTTGATAGTATACTTCAGCGATTTATAACAAGATTATTTAATGCATCCTGTTTGCAGTTTCTCATCTTAATTGGCTGTAGAGAGTCACTTAATCAAGGCTGGCTGAATTTCAATTAGCATAGCCTCTAATAGAATGGCTACTTTCTTCAGCCTACAGGACTGTTATGACACTAAGTACTTTCAATTATCTACTGTAAATTTCCACAAATAAAGAATTTATATTATCCCTCAAGCAAACTTAAAAACAATCTGTATCTAAAAATTTCATTTGTAAGTTACTTACTTGAAATTCAGAGGGTATTTTCCAGAAGAAACAATGAGTTCCTTTAGAACTGTGGGTATAATTTTGCAAAACACACCCACTGTTTATCAGGGGTGATCCAATAATCTCATGGGGACACATGAAACTACTCATCTAAATGCTTTTTATCCTAGTGCATCATGAGTCTTCTGACTCCTACACTTAAAGGCAAATCAGCAATGTCATAGCTCATTTAAATGGCAAACTAACCATTCTGAACATAACTACAGAAATAAGATGCAAATAATAAAATCTGAGAACCGTAAAAATCAGTGCCCCAAATTCTAGCTTTTTATCCATTGGAGAGTCTCTAAGGTACTCAATCCAGTGATTACTCTTATTTCAGATAAATTTCTAAACAGAATTGCTTTTGTTTCTCAGAGAATACACATAATTATTATTGTCTACCCTGCATCTTCTACTCTCTCATATAGGAGTATACAGCTATACTCTCAATAAACTGTTTGAATAATTACATTTTAGCACCTTCAGATTATATCTGTTCAAATTAAAAGTATTAGCCATACCCCTCAACCAATCAAATCTCATAACATAAAATATGAGATTAATTTAAAATGTGAAAATTTGCCACTTGTGACAAAAAAACTCTAAAATCATTATATATCTATTTAAAAATATGTTGAGTTTGAGGGAAAAAATATTTAGATGGAAACAAAGGTCAGGAATGCGAAGAATATAATATGCAGTCACTGAATCAGGAATGATCTGAACCAAGGGATACGGAAATGACAAAATATGTGCAGATAATGAGAAATGTGGTTCTTCTCAAAGACATTGCATAAGGAGGCTTAACAGAATGGTGCATCATTTTCTGTGTTAAATTTGATGAACAAAAGTGTTTTTTCTCTCTCTAGGAACCAAAATTAGATTCAGGTACCAAAATAGTCAAAAAAGATCGACTACTAAATTTCATCTTATCCAAGAATACTGAAAGCCATTTAAATTAGATTTTTAAATTTGAATCTGATTAACTAAAACATGAATATAAACTCAAGATTGGTATAAGATCTAAAAGCCTATGAAATTTACTAAAAAATATTAACATCACTAGATGTAAAATGGTATCATATTTTAGGCATAATGTATCCTTTGGAAATATTTCATCTACATATAGTTATATTTGTATTCATGTAGTTACATAACCTTTTAGTTATAATTTTCAAGTATTAAAATAAATAAGGCCTTTACACATCATGGGCCTGAGGTAAGATTGGGAGTGTGAGGGCTCACATACCATATGTCTAAATACTGAAAATGATAAATCATTCTTTAAATAACATCAAACAAGAAGTATGTTTTATTTGCCTACTTTGCAAAGATACCTCCGTAACAACATGGAAGACCAGGTTCAAATTTAAAATACTTGGACTCCTCTGTATTCCATGCCAGCATGTATAGTCCACAGAAAGCCAGCTGTTAACTTTAGTCAATCTCACTTCTATTCCCTTCCCAGTGTCAAGTGCTACCCCATTATATGAAGTGCCTCACATATGCACATATATAAGCATCCCAGCCCTCATGTCCAATCTGTGCCCCTCTCCTGCTGGAAAAAGCTGCCAACTTTGGCCCTCCATTCAACCTAGGTTGAGCATACGAGTGGCACAGTACACCCAGTGGAGGATGGGCCCCAACAAGAAGGCGTTAAGTTCTTGAAAGAATACTTGAAGCTATTTGAGCAAAGAATTCTGGGGTCTTAGCTACAGTATGGTACAGAAGGAAAGCATGGCATATCTCCTTATCCTATCTAAGTGGCATATCTCCTTATCCTTCAAGATCATAGCTTTACAAAGAGGGGTACAGCCAGAGAAGGGAATGGGCAAGACCATCTGAAAATCAAGGAACAGAGCAGGGTCTTCCCTTCCCAAGTCGAAAGATGGTAATGATAAAAAAATGATTAAAAAAATCCAATTTGGAATATAAGATATTGTAATTACTCTTTAATATCAAAGAGAGTTAAATATAATATTCTAAAAACCTCTGTGTTCTACTTCATTATTAGGCAATCAGTGTAAACATTTAATTCAAAAATCTTTCACCTTATAAAGTAGTCTGTGAATCTTATAGAATATGTGTTAATAAGCAATCAACAATACTTAGCGAATTTATAGTATGTGTTAAGTTTCAAAAGGGCAATGAAGAAAGAAGAAAAGGCTAGCTCTTACTAGACTTTTTATGTTTAAGGTAATAAATTATGAAAACACAACTGATAGCATAGATTTGAGTGCAAGAAACAAACAGTATATTTAATAAATATGCTAAGTGTTCAAACGATAGCAACACTCATGAACTGGGGTGGTTTGGGAGGTTTGGTCAAGAAGGAGGGACTTGACTCGAACCTTAAAGAACTGTAAGATTCAATAAGGTAGAGGGAGAAGAGAGAATAGAAATTAATGTATAACACTATTATATATTCATATACTTTTTGACAACTTTAGTCCTGTTGCACGTGTATTCAGTGGGTAAAAGTTTTTGCCTCTATTTAAAACAAACACATAACCCATTCTCCAGCTGTGAACCATGTATATGTACATAAACCTGGTAACTGTAGAAATTACAGGATGAAAATATGTATTAAACCTGTCATTAATTCTGCTAAGTTGCTCAACTCTGTCAGCTGCTTTCTTTTGCACAATAGGCACTGAACCCAAAATACTCAAGACTCCTCAATTTCATGTTTTTCTAAAATATTTTTTTATGTAGGACTTAAAATAAAATATCAATATATAAAACAATTTACCAATATATAATATAGAAAAGAGCTCAGTAAAGTAAAAATGAAATCATACATACTTCTGCAGAGTAGAATATCTTACAAACTATATCTGCTCGTATGGGCTGAATGAGTAGAACAGAGAGCTTCTTCTGCCTCATGGTCATTTTATAAGCCCTCTCTTTGGATCAAGGAGTGGATAGATGAATTACAAAAGGATGAATGGAAAAGTCTTGTAACTTGGGGTATCCTGCTCACTGAGAGGTTTTGCTTAAGCAAGAATCAGTTATATACCAAAGAGTTCTTTCTTTCACAAACTTCAGAAGTACCTTGGATATAAGGACTCCTTAAGTCAACTATTTCTATACTGAATTTATCCTTGTCAAAGCATCTTCACAAATGTTAACTCATTTGTTCCTCATCAATCCAATAAAGCAAGACAGATATTTTCATTTTCACATTACTGACAAGGACTCTAATATCTAGGAATTAACGTAAATGCCCAGTGTTGCATGGAACAAGGACTGGAAGCAGGCCTTCTAACTTTATTTTCTGTATCTTATGATGTTTTGCTGGTGGACTTCCTGGCCTGGGAGAGACTGCCCTTCCCAGGGCTAGCCAGTTCTTAAGAGATAGCAAAGGGCTCTGGGCCTAGAGCATGTCTATCAAATGCAA